TCTGTCACTGAATTTTGCTACAAAAGCGTGAATTTATCCCTCGAGAAACTCTAAAACATTAAAATAATACTTTTTCTAAGACATGAACTGTTCAGATACATGTATAGCCAAATTCCCCAAAATAAGTCACTTTCTTTAACCAGCATGACAGCTCTCTAGGCCATCATGTAAATGCTGCATCACGCAAAAGCTTAGAAATTCAAACGTAGTGTGTCACAAAACCAAATACCCATTCAAAGCAAAAATTTGTATATTAAATATTAGTTTTCAGCTGCTCTTATACATCATTTAATTAAAATCTCGGGAAGATCAATAGTTTTGTAGTTTGAATTTTAGTGATGTCATATTTGTGCAACAGTTTCAAATGCCTCTTGAAAGGTTGAGTTTGTGAAAACGTTGTTAAAATTTGGATTTTTTACACGACAGACCCACTTTTACGAAATATGACTAAGATCGTTTGCCTCCGTTGACTCACCTTCATTATGTTTAACCATAAACCCCTGTAGACCATGCTGAATTTACGTGCACCAATTTTTCATACTCAGGGTAGTTTTCCACATGCTTAATCTCTGAAATGAACTCGGTGACCCCCAATTTTTTTGCATTTCTCACACAAGTAATTCATTATCTGACTGCCGTAAATATTTAAAAAAATCTCTCGACTGGAAAATTTTTGCACAAATGTTCTTAATTGTCAAAAATTAAATCTTAAAACCAATGTACAGTACCTCGCAACGTTAATTATTTTAATTTACAGGATGAAAAGTTGAAAGAGCTTGTGGATGACATTGGAACAGATAACTGGAAAGAAGTTGCAGGCCATTTTTCAGATCGTACAGATGTCCAGTGCCTTCACCGATGGCAGAAAGTGCTCAACCCTGAGCTTGTGAAGGGCCCTTGGACAAAAGAGGTCAGAGAGCCTGAAAACAGGAATTTAATACTCTTACACTAGCTTTCAATAAGGGTAGTCGGACATGTTGAAACTCTAGGATTTGCTCACCAAGACGTA